ATGGTGGGCGTGTGAAATGTTCTTACACCACCTACCTGAACTGTGAATAGCACCCAGCAGTACAATTACAGATTATGCCCTTACTAACTCTTTCTGGAAAGCTTTTTAAAACTGGGATAAACTACTGGTAGAACCAATCTGATGTACTGGTTTACGAGTATCACGCAAGAAACGTATTTGCTCAAGTGCGTTTTTGAATGTAGAATTTTGGTGCCAGTACATAAAATAAGCCAAATATGGAAATGGGTAATTTATATGGGGGAAATTAAATTAAACTTAATATAAAATGATAAAACAAATATGCAAGTAGGGAAAAGAAGTGAAAAGGGAAGAACAAAATATTTTTTCTTTTTTTCAATATTTAAGAGCTATTAAAGCAATAAAGCTTTGTGATGTTTGAATAGCTTCATTATAAAATTGTTATTAATATCACTGCTACCGTTTGTGAACTGATAAGGTACAGAATTGTTTGATCGACCCAGAGAGATGGGAGGAGACCTGTCGGCAGTCTGGAGGTTAATTTCGTAACTTCTCTCATCAAGCACCACTATGTAGGTTGAATGCTTTCTGATGTTGCATCCTATCTCTGGGTTAAGCATTACATTAAGTGTAATGAATAAGTGAATAGATGCTAGTATGACATTGTAATGCAGTACCTCAGGCAGTCTGGGAAAGAGCCTGTCTTCAGCCCAGTGGATCCCATCAAGATTTAATTGTGCACCCTTATTGTATGTTCTGCTTATTGAAACAGTAATTTTACCTCAACAGTTTAGCATTAAATCACAGGTTCTATTCAAACATTTAATTGTCCAAGTGATAAATGTCAAAGCTGCTGAGTTCATTAAGCAATAAAACTGCTCTACTACACTGACACAAGTACACAAGAGCTGCTTCGGCTAAGAAAATGCAGTGACTCCAAAGCATAATGCAACTGTATTATGTTACATAATCTTGTTTTTGTGTGCTTTTTGTATACAATTTATTATAAATAAGCAAAACAATGTGTTTTGCTGGTAGATGGCTGTACCCAGGATGGAGTTACACTCCCCCATAAATGTCTAAATTGGTGTTGAAAAGAGTAATAAACCATGATGTTTTGTGGTAAATTTGTCTGTTAGCAAACTCAGTGCATGTAATTAGCATTTTGTTTGGCTTTTTCTTAAATTGCTGTCAAATTATAACTCTTATGTTGCATTTATACAGCATAATTGAATGGCAAATTCCAGGACATTTGTCAGTGATTGGCAACCAGGTGTACAGTAGAAATGGAGACAATATGATTATGCTGGAGCTGTGTTCCAGGCTCATCCTAGAGGATAATTTGCACTGGTGTAGCAAAAATCTGGTCAGTGCAAATTGCTCTGAGCTTGCCCTATCTCCATATTCTGCTCAAACATCTGAAACCCAAGAACATTCAATGGACTGTTTCTGTTATTTAAGTCAGCCACACAACTAGCTCTTTCATAATCACATTAAAAACAAGAACCTCATTTAAAACAAGTTTCTGGTTTTGGCCTCAACTCAGGGCAATGCAGAGAAGGCAGTATAAATCATGATCCTGCTCCATACAGCTAAACTACTGGGAGTGAGTGAAGTGGCTTCATTCAGCAGTAATTACAGGATTACAGAATGCCAGAAAGATAAAAAGGCAGGTAAAGTTGCAAATATATTCTTGTACAATTGTACCCTTTGTTCACAGCTGAGGCTCTCAGTCAGTTGTGTGAAGCACTTCGAGACATCCTCTCGATGTGAAAGGCAATATCTTCTATACTAATAAAGACAAAATGTCTGTGTCTGTGTGTCCACCAAGAATGCAATAACAAATTGATGTAGAGACATGATTTATACCTCATCAGAAAGGTCTTCAATAGAGGAGTGTCATGGGCATATTTTTTTCCCGGGTATTTCCTATCATTGATGAGCTATATTACAAAATATATCTAAAATTGCTTTAATTAAGCTCCCCAAAAATATGAATGGCATTCTGCAACAAAGTAGCGACAGAAGTCACACATCACCTCTAGAGAGATACATCTATACTGATAAATACAAAATGTCTGTTTGTGCATCTGTCTAACCAATTGACGTATTTACCAACAGAAGTCCTCCCATCCAGGAGTCCTCTCATAGGAGTCCTCCCACTGAGGCCTCCCAAAAGGATATATGTGCAAATATGTGAACAAGGGATGTTAACGAGTTCAATAGCACATTTCTTAATCTTAAGGGATAAAGATGCCTAAGAAGCGAAGATCAAGCTTTCAAGGACAAATAAAAATGTCAGGCAAAAGAGAGAAGGACGATTAAATGACTGGTTGCAAGCATAGCTGCAATGGGTACATTAAAATGTATATAGCTGTACCCATTGCAGCTATATATATATATATACACACACACATATAAATAGTTGTTAAAAATAAATCTTGGTCAAAGAGCCTTGAAATTCCTAAAGTACAATTTCAGCAGGTCTCAACATCTATAAAATATCAGAGCCTTTTATATCTACACCAGATAGATGGATTTTGCAACAACGCTTTTCATTTTGCATTTTGCACAATAAAGACCTCGAGTGAACAGTGTATAAATCATAATCAGTTACATATTTATCAAACCTTTACGGGGTATATGAACTGGTAAGTGGACTAGAATCTTTCCATTTTATTTACATCTACTTTCAAATGCCTGTCTTTGTTTTCCCCAAATATCTGAGCTTTTATTCATCTGATTTTTGCTTTTGTATTTCCTAACATCTATCCCATCTATATCAGACTTGCTCTCACAAGCAAAACAGCTGTGATCCAATTGGTTTCCAAATCTGAGCTAGGAATGGAAAACAAAATTGATCAGGGTTCCCATTCCTCATAAGCAGGGCCAATAGAAAATTACGAAAATATTTGCCAAAAATTGCAGGGAGGTTTGTCAAATTTTACAGGAAATTGCAGGGGGTTGGCTGGTGCTGTTGAGAGGTACATTTTCCTGTCAATCCACATTTCTTCACTTTATTGCTAAAAACGAATGTGAAGAAATAACGCAATTAGATTTTTGCAACAAAAATATTAATGATTTCTTTAACAAAAAACTGGGTGGCCCACTCAGGGTGGGGGGAAGCACCGGCGCTCACCCAAAGGGCCAGATGGTCCATTTCCACCCCATACTGTATTGCTTGCCAGTGTCCTGATTGCTGGTCTCCAGGTCACCACCTCCTGCCTCTCAGGGATACCACCACGCACTGACACCCAGAGAGGGTCACACACACACAGACACACCCTCATTCACAGAGAGAGACACACATTCAGAGGCAAATACACACACGCTCAGACACACACTCATAGACACAAGAAAGATACAACATTCTCAGACACACACACACACACTTGCAGAGACAGTCTTATTGACACACACACTCACAGTACATACAGAGGAGAGAGACACACAGACAATACCAACAGCGGGGGCCTCGGGTTGAGCGAAGCCCATCTCCCACTCGCGCCGCATCGTGCGTGCGGAAATACTCCGCCCACAGTGGCAGCATCGAGAATACAGTCAGCAGCAGCGCGAGAGGGCTGGAGTTGAGTAAACTTCATTTTTATAAGTTTTAGCAGAGAGGGATGTTTGTAGCAGCGCATGTCATTTGCAGCGGATTCTGCGGCAAAATTGCAGCCGCTCTTTTCTATTGGCCCAGCTCATAAGTGTCCAGCAACTCTTGCCACACACATCAGCATTCACACATTGAACAAGGATACAGTTGAACTCAGTTGTACTGCCCTCAAATATAGAACCAAAAAAACCTCAAGGCCAAATCAGGGGTAGGGAGGCGGGGCAGTCACTGAAAAATTCCTCCCCAACTCCCTAAGGCAGTTGACAGACCTACAGGGGAGGAGGCCAAAGCCCACAGCAACAGAAGAGCTTATCCAATCAACCCTACATCCTGCTGCACCACAATTAGCAACGCCAGTGTGACACATTTAGGCTCCCCGTCTATAGCTACTCGAAACAATTCCCCAGCATGAATTGGCACCTTCAGAGGAATAAGAAAGAAATTTTTTTTTAAGTACCTGTCGGTACAAGCTTTGGTTTTTCAGCATAGCACTCAAGTAACATTTATTCCTCAGTCTTCAGTCTAGCCCCATTTTAGTGAATCTGAGTTCTATGTATCCCTTCTTCCATTAATGAAGATTTAGAGAACAAAAAAAACTTTTAAAAATGGTTCTATCAATTCAGATATTCCCTCTCCTGCTGATAAAATCATTTAGTTCACAGTGTGGACCTGTTTTAACAGCAGGGAGGGTGAAAGGGATGGCAGCAAAAACAGCATCGTCACCACTTGCATGGCCGATGGAAGCCTCATTCAAGTCAACCCTCCTGACTGTGAAATTCATCAGTAAGGGAACATAATAAAAGGATGCTATGACTAGGTTAAGAGCTGTAATACTCCCAATCACCGATTAGCTCATAATATTCTGCACTTTAATTTACCAATGACACACAATCATTGTCATCAATTATATCTGACTCTCAAGTCTGTATAAATACTTCCATGGTTAGGAGTAGAGAGGTACCCAGCTGAGAAAAAGAATACAAGCTTCACCTGATTCTATCACCTGAAGAAATTGGCAAATTTATCCCGTATACTAGTATAAATTGAGGACCTAGTATCCGTCAGTAATTATGTTAGATAGACCATCGCCATTTCACTTCATGGTTCACTAACTGAACTTAAGGTCCTCATGATATCCCTATCCCTGGAGAGAGATTAAGGGTACTGATAAAAAGAATGACACTATGTAATGAAACCAATGTTAAAATAAGCTATCCATCATTTATCATCGAACAAAACATTTGAGTTTTTGAATTCTTCAAAGCATCACCCTCTGTTGTCATGTCTATATGGTAATTGCTTTTGTGTCAGTTCTGAGAGACCTGCGTACTGATTTCATTTATGTCGGCTTTCTACAGCTGTCCATGAAAGGATTTTTTTTAAAAGTTCATCTCATGTTTCAAACCTGGTCTCCAAAGTCCTCTGGGAACTTCCACAGAACCACTGGATCTGTAAGTAATTGACAGACAGTATTAATCAGCTGTGAAAGAATAAAGTAATACAGGCAGTGCACATTAATATTAAAGCAGAAGCCAGCTTCAAGTTCTCAGACAAGTGCAGAAAGAGATTTCCAAAGAAATCTCTGCAGCAGAAATTTTCCCAATTTTGATGCGCAATATTCAAACGCACTGTCAACATTCATTCAATTATTATAGATTTTATTTACTAGCTTGAAGCATTTCTTTAAAAATATTTTTAAATAAAAATTGTTTTGCTCTGCATTTAAGGTCAAAAGTCTAATTCCAAGAACATGAATTTTCAATAAGATTGTCTGCTTGCATTAACCAACAAAGCCTACAAATTGTTTAAAGCAAATAAAATGTACTGAATTAAGCATACTGTACACCACAATCTTTAACAGTACAAGTCGTAGTCTTGTCATAAAATTTAAACAAATTAAAATATTTAACACAATAGAAATGATAGCAAGATTTACAATTATGCAGTTATCACTTCTCATTAGTATTCAGTTGCGTTACTATCTACTGCTCCTCCTCCAGCTGCGACTCCTGGTCCTCCAATGTTCTTTCGACTTGACTGGCGGACGCCAGGGTCTGCATGGCTATGCACAGGATCCAGCTGATCCCAAACTCTGCCGCCCGCATCGTGACGCACACTAAACTCTGTAGCCCCATCACACTAGTTCCAGTCAGGCTCCATTGGCTCCCTATTGCTGAATGGATCGATTTCCAGTGCTCGTACTCATTTTCAAATTCCTTCATGCCCTGGCAGCTCCCTACCTCTCCGACCTGCTACCACCATCCCCGAACCCACAACCCGCTGCCTCTGCTTGACTGGCTCCGGCCTCCTGCTTGTCCCTCATGCTCTCCATTCCACTATTGGGAGCCATGTTTTCAGCCACTGTGCCACAAAACTCTGGAACACTTCCTCTATCCTCCGCCTTGCCCCTTCCTTCTCCATCTTCAGGTCACGCTGGAAGACCTTTCTCTTTGACAGTGCCTATGGTCACCTCTCCCCGAGATGGAACACTTCTTCAAATATTACCATTAGAAATATGAAGCACTAAGCCAAAAAAATTAAGTGTGCAGTTGTAAAATTCTCTCTCCCAATTAATCCATAGATTCCTTCCAACAGTACTCACCAGGAACAACAGCGTGAATATCACATACTATACTGATACTGTAGCCCTTAGTCAAGATGAAACAAATTAATGTTAAAGCCTATGAGCAAAATATTAGAAGCTATAACAAACCAACTGGGACTGAACAGGAAGTCATAAAGGCAAATGTAAAATTGCTGCCTTGTCAAAGTTAAGTAGTACCATACCTGAAAAATCTTTTGTTTTCTGTTTTAAAACAATGTTATTAAACCTACATTTATTTATCAGTATTGGGTTTATTGAGACTTGCATTGAGTTTTCACTAAAAACAAAATTGAGAAACAACTTATTTTAGCAATGGAACATTTCCTGAAAAAAAATATTTGTGACTTTACTTCGCTTCGCTTTTTGCCAAGAATTACCCAGCCCATGCTTTGCACTTCTTTCATGAGGGTACAAAGTCTGGGGTAAGTATAAAACCAGTTAAGTAGCCCAGTTTCCAATTACGTGTATAGTTTTAAAATCCTCAAATAGTGCTCAAATATTCTTAAGGTACAGGAACACTTGTGGTAGATACTACAAGATCATTTTCAATTTTTTGTACTGTACAGAAACAAAGGTCATTCTTCTCTCCAAATACCCAGCGCTTTATCTAGTGAGTAGCTGTGACGTAAACTAAGAAGATTAAATGTTAAATGCTGCATTTGGTTTCAGCACCCTCCACATCACAGAGGGGAAAGTCAACCGAACTTCCCATCACTGATTGCTAGAGGGGTAGATTTGTGGGCAACGGTAGGCAGATTTGGTCTCGGACATATTCATTATCATGGTTAATACATGCCATTTGAATAAGCAGACAGAAGGAGACAAGTTCTAATGGAGCACTACCTCAAGGAGAAAAAAATTTAGAATCAAATTCCTTCAGGAATGGAGAGGAAGAAAATAACTGAAAGGAAAAAGACACAAAGATGTGCTGATTATTTTTATTTTTTTTGAAAAGTTTAATCTAAATGAAAATCCGGGAACAAAATAAATCACACGTTCTCTGTCGCAAAATAGGAAGGGGAAGCCATGTTTTCCATGTTTTAAGAAATTTAGCAAAGACTTTACTATTATTAAATACTAAGCCTCAAGTTGCAGTTGAATATTGATTTACCCTCATTTTTATTTCAAAAATCTCGAACAACAACTTGCACTTATTGAGCACTTATAATGCTTAAACATTTGGGGTGAACAGTTTGAGATGAAATTAAATTTAGGCAATTAAGATCCCCAGTTTTGATTCAACAACTTCTGCTGGCTGACTGGGTACAGCAGAAAAGTATACAATATGTGGGCAAGATTAAAAGAATTTAGAAGACAAAGAAAGCTGAGAGAACAGAAGGGTAGAAATTACAGTGCCAAATAGAGAAAACTAAAGCCCGAAATTCTCATGGTCTCAATGTTATTATAATCTTAAAATTTTGAGAATGGACAGAATTTGGGAAATTTCTTCAATTAAATCTGAATTTTGAAGCCGGTTCTCCACAGTTCCAGAAAACAGCTTCAATATTAGACCAGTCTGTATGTACAAAGTGAAATCTGACAAGACTTAAAAATAAACTTGTGATTCGATAATTTTGTCAAGTAAATTGTCAAACCGATAAGGAAAACTAACAAACATCCTTACTAAAAAGCAAGTTCAAAAGTACATGTCCTAGATATTTTCAAAAAAACTCTTTAATACACAAATTTACAAATGGCAAAGATAAGCAAAGATACGGTTCTGTTTGTAAATTGAAGAACATATATTTCCGAGTTATTTATTTATGAACCCATTTTAAGCTTTATATTTTAGTGCAGTCTCTCATTGTTATTGTGTAAACATGAAGGTTTCCTCCATTTGATCAGAATAGCCAGTGTCTAAAGAGACTGAGTGGAACCCCCATGCCAGATGGCTATGGGGGGGGAAAATCAACAGCAGGGAAAGATGCTTTGCAGGCAAATTATGTTCAAATTGGATCACGTCATGCAATTTGCATATTGCAATTGGCTAATGGCCAACCTGGGGTATTTTTGCTGACATAACCCTAGCCCTGTCTTTAACTGCAGGCCAATCACACCATAGAACAGAATACAAATTCATTCCATGTAGCTTGATATTGTAGTTTGTTAACTGTGGCAAAAAGCAGCAAATTTCTCCCCTCCCCCCCACCCCAGACAAATGAATCATGTCTATGGCAAAAACATTATAAATTCAGTCTATTCTGAATAGACAAAACCCATCTTGGATCTCATTCATTACAAATAGACTAAATGTGAAGCACCTGCCACGATCAATGGTGACAGGTTCCATATCAGAATAAGTGGCAATGAAAAACTATATCCACCTGCCTGCCTCATTAATTGTTCTGTCCTACTCTAAGTTTTAATATTACTTTGATTTGGCCTTTCTTCTCACCATATTGAATTCCGCTTTTTCCTTCCAAATAAACCTTCACAATAAGCATCTTTCTTTGCATAAAACAAGGTAGTTTGGCAAAAAGGACATGGTATGGCTCAATTTGTAGCATTGTCACCTCAAGAGTCAGAGATTATGGGTTCAAGCCCCTATGTTGGGATTTCAAAGTCATAGAGTTGAGGCTAACACTCCAATATGGTTGTCTTAAATATAACCGTAATAGCAGTGCTACATCTAGGTGCCAGAGATATAATTACATTTAATGGAGAGAAGAGGACTCTTTTCAAATGTAAATTCTGTACAAAAATAATTTTAGTATCTCCAACTGTATAAAAAAGGCACCCATTTTATCTTCATGTTTCAGCCCTGCCTATACCTTTATTTTGAGGTTTTTTTTACACACACCAAGCAGCCATTCTGTTGACTGCAGTCAATTGCTATCAATGAGCAGCTCCACAGGGACCAACTGCAGGAGTGTTAGTGAGCTCTGAATGCCATCCCAGAGATTTACAAAGCTCCCTGGTCCAAAAAGAAAAATACTGGTCTCCGCAAAAACGGCAAATAAAGCTGCCTGCATGAGTGGACAAGTCCGTAAGAAGCAGCAAGTAAATATAAATAGTTACAATCTAACTTAATTCCCAGAAATCTGAACATAAAATTTCTTACATCTGCAAAAAGAGAAAGGAAGGACTACATCTTGCAAGTATTCCCACCACTTTCCTTCTCCATTCTGCGACCGTTTTAGACGTGACAATTCATCGTAGGCAATGCTGCATGTTGACTATGCAGGAACCCACACTTTTTCTTGAATATCCAAAATACTAATTTATTTACAGCAGCACAATGTAGAATCACTTACATTTTCAAATTACCACAAAGATGTATAAAGATGAAGACCACAATATAAAATACTGCAGGTTAAATCAAGATTGCTTGGTTATCCATTTTATTCTTTTTGAGAAGGCCTCTGTGCAACATTGCTGGGTCAGTTCATGTTATTAAATGCTAAAATTTTATTTGAAACAATTTTGAAAATAAAATGGGATTATAAATGCATACACGAAAATAAAAAAATAATCCTTGCATTTGATACAGTGCCTTATGTTGTCAGAAAGTTTAAAAGCTCCGCAACATTGTCAGACTCCGCCACTGCCTCACCTCTCAGGCTGCCAAAACCCTTATCCATGCATTCGTCACATCAAGGTTTGATTACGGAAACTTCCTCCTCATCGGCCTTCCCAACTCTTCCCTTCACAAGCTGCAGATCATCCAAAACTCCGTAGCTCGTGTACTCTTGCGCACCAGACTCCATGACCCCATAACTCCCACCCTCGCCCCAACTCCACTGGCTCCCCATCCCTCAGAGGATCAAATTCAAGATCCTCGTCCTCACTTTAAAGGCCATTCATGGCCTTGCCCCCTCCTACCTCTCTGATCTGCTGACTCCCTACCAACCTGCCTGCTCCTTCCATTCAGCGGGCTCCAGTCTGCTCCATGTCAGTGGAGTTCTGTAGCTCAGTGGTTAGAGCACTCGCTTTGCAAGCGAGAGACCTGAGTTCAATTCCAGGCAGAGGGCGAAACCTTGGGCAAGTTTCCTTACTCCACACACCTAATAATAATCCCTCCAAAAAAACCAAAAATAATAAATTGGTCATTTTCAATCCACGACTGTTTGTGGGACATTGCTGTGCGCAATTGGCTGCCGCGTTCGCCCACAAATATACAGTCAATTCACTTTACAGTGTGTTCTGTGAAGCGCTTTGGGACGTCCTCCCGACGTGAAAAGCGCTATATCAAATGTGAGGATTATTATTATTATTATGTCTCCTGCCTGACCCACCCTACCATCGTTGGCCAGGCTTTCAGCCTCTTGCCCCCACACTCTGGAACTCCATCCCACGGCCCCTTCACCTCGCTTCCTCCCTTGCCTCCTTCAAGGCCGGTCTCAAGACCCTTCTCTTCGATCGTGCCTTTGCTCGTCCTCCCACCTCTCTGCCTTCCCTACCCCTATCCTACCCCTCCCCCATGCTCGGGTCCCGACCCCTGACTGATCAGCGCTTTGAGACGTCCTCCCGACGTGAAAGGCACTCTATAAATGTAATTTT